CCAGGCCGAGGGAGCCCAGGCCGAGGGAGGCCAGCCTGAGGGAGGCCAGGCCGAGGGAGCCCAGCCCAACTTCTCTGGCCCCCCAGAGCCCCCAGTTTGCTCCCCACCCAACTGTGAGAACATGGATGTCAACTGAGGCGCTCTACGTCCTACTGCCCTGAAGGAAACCCTCTTTATCATCTCCCCCTGTGTCTGCCACCTGTTCTCTTAATGCGCATTAAGTGTCCCCTGTCCCCTGAGTATTTCAGGCTCAGTCGTGGCCACTGTTGTCAATGTGCCGCTATATTGCTCCTCCCTGAGGGGAAGAGACCCATCTCTTCCCCAGGCAGGTTTTCAGGCTCGTGTTGTTTCCTCCTTGGAGCGACAGCTCTCGTTTTGGTTTTTATTTATGGTTGTTCTTTGCTTCGTTCCTTAACTTTTGGGGAGTTCTAGTGGGGTGGGTGTGTATCTGAACACAGTGTATTTTCTTATTGATAGCTTGTATCCTTGGCTGTATATAAAGCTCCCGTCTGTTCCTCACAGTGCCGTGTGTCTTGTCTTGTTTTTCATGCGCTTAATAAGCACCGACTGTATGTTGAACTGTGTACGGTGTGCTTATTGAATGCCAGCTGTGTGATGGGTGCTGCTCTGAGTGTGGTGGAGCACTGAGTGTGTGGGAAGTGTGTTTCCAAGTAAAAACACCGTTTGTGTGCCAGACACTATTCCAAGCACCAACGTACACCCAGTATTTTCCAGAGCATTTTACAAATCCTCACAATTTCATGAGGGAGTTATCCCCACTTCAGATGGGGAAAACTGAGGAACAAAAGAATCAGGTAATTAAGGGCTTTCAGGAAGTCATTATAGCTCAATCACACATTGCACTGGAGTCAATCCTGAGAGGAGGCGTCTGGTAGGAGTGAGACCTTGTGTGTGGGGTGTGTGTCTGAACAGGAATGCAAATCTTCCTATGGACATGACTTGGCCTCTACAGCAGATGTGGAGAGGATCCACACTCAGACTGGCCAACCCGACAGCAAATCTGTTGCCCCAATATCTGACATACCTCTAACCATGACCCATTCTCCCTTAGTAGGCAGGATCCCTCCAGCCTTACCCCAGAGGTAAGATGGAGTGCCTACTACACAGTGGGTATGGAAAAGATGAAAACCATAGTGTGTCCGAGCACAAGGTGCCATTTACGCACCCAATCTCTCCCACAAGATTCCTCCAATTGAAGCCAACTATGTAACTTTTGAGAAATGAGGCTCCCAACAACCGGGGGCCAGAAGGGAACAAATGTTTAGTATCTACACATAAATAAGCTATCCAACCCGTCACTAAAGGAAATCCTGCTCAGTGGCAATTGAGAGAGCATTGCCCTAGTAAAGGCCTTAACCCCGCCCCCTCCTACACAGTCTGCTGCCTTTGCATTGAACCTGGAAAGAAACTCAGTTCTGGGATTGCCACTTACAAGCCCCCAAGTATACTGTTGACTCGGGAAAGAATCATGGTTGCTAGTAAGCTCTCAGACAACCCAAAACAGGAAGTAACTGGTTTCCATATATAAGCATGCCTATGGCAAAGTGATTTACACGCTGGGTGCTTAACCAAAAGCTTAAATCACACAGTTCTAAACCACAAGCCACTCCGGGAGGAAGATGACGCTTGTTTATTTCAGTAAGGTTCTGTGCCATCCTCACAGGTGTGGGTTCGTGGTTGCAGTCACTGTCAAATCTTACCTCTTTCAATGCCCTACTTTACCAACGATGCCCTTTTCTAGGGATTGGTTTCTCCTCAGGACACAGCCAATGTACCTAACACAAGGTCGCCATCGCTTCCAAGAAGCATTCTGACTACTTATTCCAAGACAGATTTGGTGGTTTTTCTGACAGCCCCTGGTATTTTCCATAGTCTTTGCCAGCACCGTAATTCAAACACATCGATCCTTCTGTGATCGTTCATATTCAATTGTCCAGCTTTCACATGCATATGAAGTGATTGAAAAAGACCTTGGCTTAAATATATCATGGCCTAGGTCAGGCATGCCTTAGTCCTCAAAGTGATATCCTGGCTCTTCAATTCTTTTTAAATTAAAAAAAAATTTTTTATTAAGGGCTCATACAACTCATCACAATCCATACATATCAGTTGTGTAGAGCACATTTGTACATTCATTGCCCTCATCATTCTCAAAATATTTGCTCTCCAAGTAAGCCCCTGGCATCAGCTCCTCATTTTTACCCGTCCCTCATGAACCATTAATTTATAAATTATTATTTTGTCATCTCTTCCACTGTCCAACATCTCCGTTCACCCACTTTTCTGTTGTCCGTCCCCCAGGGAGGAGGTTATATGTAGATCCTTGTAATTGGTTCCCCCGTTCCAAACCCACCCTCCAGGTATCGCCACTCTTACCACTGGTCCTGAAGGGATCATCTGTCTGGATTCCCTGTGTTTTCAGCTCCTATCTGTACCAGTGTACATCCTCTGGTCTAGCCAGACTTGTAAGGTAGAATTGGGATCATGATAGTTGGGGGGGCGGGGGAAGCATTTAGGAACTAGAGGAAAGTTGTATTTCTCATCGTTGCTACATCGCACCCTGACTGGCTCATCTCCTTCCCAAGACCGTTCCGTAAGCGGATGTCCAATTGCATACAGATAGGCTGTGGGTCTCCACTCCGCAATCCCCCTCATTCATAATGATGTGATTTTTTGTTCTGATGATGCCTGATACCTGAGCCCTTCGACACCTCGTGATCTCACAGGCTGGTGTGCTTCTTCCATGTGGGCTTTGTTGCTTCTGAGCTAGATGGCCACATGTTGACCCTGCTCTTCAATTTTTTAAAGAGTTCTTGTGCAAGCAGATTGGACCAGTGCAATATGTCCATTGATTTCGTGACTACTGCTTCCGAGAGAACTTTTTTGTAGATCCAAGCAAGGTCAAATCCTTGACAACTGCAATTTTTACTCCATTTATTATGATGGTCCAGTTGTGAGCATTTGGGTTTTCTTTACATTGAGTTGGAATCCATACTAAAGGCTGTAGACCTTGATCTTCAGAAAGTATTTCAAGTCCTCTTGGCTTTTAGCCAGCAAAGTTGTGTCATCTGCATATTGTACGTTGTTAATAAACCTTCCTCCAATCCTGATGCTGCACTTAAAATAGTTCAACTCCTTGGGCTATCTACTCAACATACAGATTCAATAAGTATTGTGAAAGGATACAACCCTGACAGACATTTTACCTGATTTTACACCATGCGGTTTTGCCTTATTCTGTTCAAACGACTGCCTCTTGATCTATGTACAGGTTCCACATAAGTACAATGAAATGTTCTGGCATTCACATTCTTCTCACTGCTATCCAGAGTTTATGATCCACATCATCAGACGCTTTTGCATGGCCCATAAAACACAAGTAAACATCTTGGTACTCTATTTTGAGCCAAGATCCATCCGACCTCAGCCATGATAATCCTGCATTCCATACCCTCTTCTGAATTTGGTTTGAAGTTTTAGCAGCTTCTGGTTGATGCACTGCTCCAACCATTCTTGAAGACTCAAGCAAGACTTTCCTTGCATGATATTGATGATACCATGGTGTATTTTCGCCATCCATTGGCTCTTTGGATGCGTACAAATATGGAACTCTTCCAGTCAGCTTCTAGATTTCTTGGCATGGATGGGTGAGTGTGAGAGCCTGCAGTGTTTCATCGGTTGGTTGAAACATTTCAGGTTGCTACTCTCAATTCCTGGAGCCTTGTTTTCAACTAATGCCGTCAGTGCAGGTTGGGCTTATTCTTCTTTAAGGACCCTTGGTTCTGAATCATATCCTCTCTCTTGAAATGATCGAATGTAGACCGGTTCTGTTTGGTACTTTGTATATTCCTTCCATTGTCTGCATCTTTCAATATTTTGCCTCTAGAATCTTTCAACATGGCAATTTGAGGCTTGAATTTTATTTTGTTCAGTTCTTTCAGCTTGACATATTCTGAGTATGTTCTTCGTTTTGGTTCCTTGACTCTAGGTCTTTGCACATTTCGTTATAATAATTCACTTGGTCTTCTTGAACTGTCCTTTGAAATGTTCTGTTCAGCTCTTTGAGTTCATCATTTCTTCCATTTGCTTTAGCTGCGCTCTGATCAAGAGCAAGCTTCAGAGTCTCTTCTGGCATCCACTTTGATCATTTAGAGGGCAGGATTCCGAGGTTAATTTTATTTTGGTCTCATGAACAAACCACTCTTTCCTAACATTTCAAATCCCCAGAGTGGATAGGATCCACTTCCGTTGGAGGGAAGTTTCATTGATCTCACTCTCAGAATGCTGTGCTGAGGCCCTGGGTTAGCAATGTATTACTACACTCCGTTGACTTGTACTCAAGGACTGCTACAAGAATAAACTGGCTTGGATTTCTCAGAGACAGACTGGAACTGGGTGGTAAATGCTTTGTTTTAAAAAATTTGTTGTACCGCCAACGCATCCGTTTCGCAGGAAGCCCTCTGTGTAGCTATCCCTATCTTTTGTTCTCTTGTTTTCCCCCACCTCCCTTCCTGCCTTCTCCCTGCCTCTTGTCATAGTCTTCAGAGTCCACTTTTTTTTAATGAAAAGATCATTTTACTGGGGCCTCTGACAGCTCTTATAACAATCCATACATCAATTGTATCAAGCATATTTGTATATATGTTATCACCATTATTTTCTAGACATTCTATCGAGTCTTTGGTATCAGCTCCTCTTTGCTCCCCACCCCGTGACTCCTTGATAAATTATAAATTATTATTTTCACGTCTTACACCGACTGCTGACCCCCTTCCCCCATGGTTTCTGTTGTTTGTCTCCCTGGAGGGGGGTGTGTTTGGTTATATGGCGATCATTGTGATTGGTTCCCGCTTCTTCCCCTCCTCTCCTCACCTCTTCCCTACCCTTCTGGTATCACTGCCCCCCTTCTTGTTCCTGGATTCCGTGTGTCGTGAGCTCTTATTTCTTATCTGTACCTGTGTACATGCTCCGGTCTAGCCTGAAGTGAAAGGCAGGACTGGGGTCATGGTAGTGGGGTACGGGGGGAGGAGGGGAGGAAGCTTTAAGGAACCAGGGGAAAAATGTGTTTCATCAGTGCTATACTGTGCCCTGGTTGACTCATCCCTTCCTTGTAAC